CTTCTCTCGTGCTGCTCTGGGAAGCTGTCTGTGTCCTTTTGAGACAGGTGAGGAGTGCCTGGCTCTCCCGTCCCCCACCCCACTCCCTGTGCAGCCAGCGTGTGTGGATCGCCTGCTGGCTGTCACATCCCTCCCTCACTCCCCTTTGCTCCCCCCTTCTTCCCGATGGCCTGGGACAACTTGCTTGGTGTCCTCCCTGGCTACCTAGCAGCCACCCACTTCCATTCCACTCAAGCACAGCATCCCCCACCCCTTTCACATGCTGCTTTTTGGGAAGGGAGGCGGGGCCCTAGCATGGCCAAGGCCGGGGAGGGAAGGATCTGGCCCACTGTTAATATTCCCAACCCCATACTGGAGTCTCCAGCTCCAGCCCCACCCCCTCAAGATTGTCCTGGAGCCCCACACCAATCACAGGCCTGCACTTGGACCAATCACACGCCTGCAGCTGCTATATGAGCAGCACTTCCCAGCCATTTCTCTCAATCAGTCTGGGAAGGATTTCTGTACTACACTATCCCCGCTGTGCTACAGCACAGGCCCCGTTAAAACTAAGGCTCATTTTGGGTCCTGCAGACCTCCTTGTGATTTATTTCTCAGGCAGTATGGGACCCAAATCGGCTGTGAATAGGCTGTAAATCAGCTGTCTGGCAACAGCATAGCCAGCAGCTGCCTGTGTCAACTGTCAACAATCCAGCAATATCTGGTGTTATCTGGTGACATCACAATTTTCATCTGAATCAAGGAAATGAGCGCTAGGCTAATTGGGAACACTTTCTCATCCCAAGTTCTCCCTTAAGTGTTTCTCATGGGGCAGATTTCCTTATGAGAAACTCTGCTTCTGAGTGCCTGGAATGCCTGCATTTCTGACGGGCTGACCATTCACATATGGACCTCTTGGATGACGTTCTTTGTTCTCTCCTAGCACCGCTAACATGTCACCCCTCGCCTCCTAGCCCCATGATTGCTGGTGTGGAGCCAAACCAGGGATCCCTTTGATGTGACTCAGTGTGTGTCTCTGTGGGTGTGTGGGATAAGTTCTTACCAGATTGGATGATCCCGATGACCTCTTTCCTTTTGGTGGATTATTTGTTCCATCTGCTCAAATCTCCCATGAGCTCTTCCTTCCCTTACCACGCTTTGCAACCCCAAGTTCTCCATTTGGTCCTCCTCTGCAGTGTTTGCCCTTCACTGGCATGTCCACTTGGTGAGCACCGCCCTCTCACTGTGAGTGGACACCACGGCTTCCTGGAGTTCTTGGGGCACACAGTCTTTGTCCAGTGTGGCCAGCACCTGAGCTTCCACAGAGGGTTTCTGCAGACAGCTGAGTTCCCCGTGTGGCCATACTTCCCCGTGTTTTTTCCTGTTTCATAATGTTTTTGTTGAAAACTGAACATTTTGAATAATAAAATGCGGTAACTGTAACCAGATCCTCCCCTCCCAGGGCTTGTTGTTGCTGCCTATTGTAGTCTGTTTTCTGAATTCTGTTCAGTTGTTCTTTCCAACAACTCAGCAGTAGGCCATTACCAGACAGGGCTCCCCTTCCAGGTCTCCAGGGCTCTGGGTGCACGGCAGGCTTACTGCTGGCCCTGGCCAGGTACTCCTCTGTGGTAGCGTTCACTCCTGGTTGCAGAGCCCGAGGCCGGACAGAGGGGACTGCTGGGCAGCTCAGGGCTTCCTGGGTATGTGCACAGCCCCAGGGTGAATGTGGCCTTCAAATCCCCAAGAGTAGGTTGGAACTTTTCGAAGCTCCCCAAGAATACCCCATTTCCCGGCTTTGCCTCCTACATTTTTGGTGAGTCAGTTATTTGCCCAACTGTTGGCCACCACTTTGGCCAACACTGAGGTCCTGTCACCTCCAGTGGCTTTTATGCTGGTAAATTCGGAATGTCCACAACTGCCCAAGGAGAAGTCTCCACACCACCAGGCAAGCTCTGAGTCAAGTCACTGGCAATTTCCCCAGGGGCTCCTCAAGGGACCCATGTGACAGGCTGGACAGGGACAGCTCTAGGGAGCCCCGAGTCCTTCCCTCCAGTCCATGGCCACCTGCCATGGCTTCACCAAGATATAGGCTGTGAGTTCCCATGGCTATAGAACAGGTGGTGGGGGTGTTAAAGCATTGCAAAGCCTTGTTTTTACCAGAACTTTTCCATTTTCTTGATAAAATAACTCCCTATCAACTGTTACAAGTCTTTGGTTAATTTCCTGAGTACTGGAAGGAATGACATTTTTGCCAGCTTCCTCTGTTTTGACAAAGGAGACAGTTTTCAGTAGTGTTGAAATCTCAGCATCTGACTTCATGTGGAGAACATGGTGGCAAATGGTACTGAGAACAGACAGATGTCAGCTAAGAGAAGAGAACGTTGCCCAGTGCTCAGTGGTAGCAGCCAGTCCTCTTTCCAGCCCATGCTCATCAGGCCCAGGAGGCTGCAGGGCCCTGAGCTGGCCCCATGCAAGGTTGCAGTGGGCATTACAGGACTGGATGGCAGCCAAGAGCAGAAGCAGATAGTGCAGGGCTCGGCCACTCCACCTCCTGCCTCGGGGCTCTGCCACAAGCTCAACACAAGGACTTGGCTCACAGCCCCAGTTGTGGTTCTGAATCAGAAGTGCACGAAGCCCAGTCCAGGCGGCTTTCGACCGGCGATGACTCTGCCGGCCACTTAACACCCTGCGACAGAGCCAGCTGTTGCCTGAGTTTCCTCCCAGTAGATCCCAGATGGGACCCAAAACTATGCTGAGTGTGCAGGAGACCATGTGATCCTCTGGGCTGGGTGGTGAGAAGGGGGTCTCCCCAGACCTCAGGACAGGAAGAAGCCACCTGCAGAGAGGAGACTTGGAAGTGGAGCTTTGAGTGCAAAGGCCCTAGGCATGAGCAAGTACAGGGCCCCTGGAGAAGTTAGGGAGCAGGCAGCAGAGAGCCAGACTGCACAGCCCCATTCCAGGGACTCTGAGGCCCCAGATGGGAGCAGCCTTTAGGGCTGATTGTGCACAGAGACCAGTGCTCCACCGAGAAGTGCCTGTGGCGGGTGGGGCCTCTGTGGGTATCTAAATGGGCCCAGGGTGGGGGCTCCAGGCTGAGTCAGTGGTGGCCTGAGGCGCAGGCTGTGTCCTGAAAGCCAATGTTGTGCAAGGGCCCCTCCCTGGCTGGGATCCACAGGGTCCTGGCTGGAGCCCCAACTGCCCTTTAAAACCCTGTGGGCTCAGGCCCCATGCAGGGAACAGTGTAGAACAGTGTAGGACGGGTGCTAGCCGGCAGTCCCTAGCCCCCTCCCCACTCCAGCTGTGCAGGGACTCCAGCGCTGCCCAGGGCTCTGTGGGAGGCCACTGTTAGCAACTCAGGGTGAACACTTGCTTTTGAAAGCTGCCAACCCCCTGAGGGTGCGCACACCAACCTGACCCACAAGAGGGGCAGGGGACAGAGGCTGCTGCTGTGGGCAGGCTGAAGACAGGAGTGTGGCCCTGGGCCTGTAGATGCTGGCCCGTGGAACCACTCGCACTGCCCTGGGCACCAGCTTGGGCAGTGTCTGTGGGGCAACCTCCGGGAAGGCCCCGTCCTCAGGGGACCTGGGCACTAGTGTCAACCCACTAACCAAACATGTACTGCGTAGCAGAGCTGAGTCTACACCTGGTTTCCTCCCAGATCCCACAGCCTCGGGTCCCCTGGGGTTACTTCTGTGTCGCCATCTCTGAGAGGCAGGAGTGCTGAGCACCTGTTGAATACATGAATTTGCTGCATGTACACGTGTGAGTGTGTGTGCCCCCACACCCAGGTGCACAAGGAAGTGTTGGTGCTTGTGACCATACCTCGCCGAAGGCTCTGGCCACCCTCCTCTGACAAGATGGCAGCTCGCTCCCTTCACGCTGGAGCAGAGCTGCACTGTCCCCAACACAGCCTATCAGGTGACTGGACAGACAGGCATGCAGCACAACGGTGATAAGAGCTGTACAAATCCAAGCCCAAGTTCTAAGGATTTTTATTTTGAAGCATACAGCTGCTTTTTAATAAAACACGCCACCTATGTTAACACGTAACAGCCCTATTTTGTTAGCTTTGTGTGAAGTAGTGACTGTTCTGAGCCCATAGGTCAGACTATGGTAAGCATCCACAGACAGAACCCACACACGTGGCTGCTGGTGTCCTCAATGACTCTGAAGAGTGGAAAGAGGTGGTGGGACCAGAGGCCCAAGCTCCAGACCTAGAGCCGCCGCCGCTGCCGCCTGGAGTCTGGATAGTGTTCTCTGTTGCTTCGCCATGGCTGTGGTATTTACTTGAAGTGCAGGTTACATCACTAGGTTTATTTGCATTCAGTCCTCACTGGATTTATTTATTCTCTCTCTCTGTCTGAGTATGTGAAGCACTGACAGGGTTCCAAAGCTCAGAATGGATTCTGTTTAAGCTTAAAAGTTCTCTGGGGATTCTAACGAGCAGGGAGGGCTGAGCAATTGTGCAAGACGGCGGCTCCCTCTCCTCCTCCACAGCTCCTAGACCCCATGACAGGGGCTCTGGAAACAATTTCCTGTCACTGAGCCAGGATAAACTGTAGAATCCTTAGCGATTCCCGAGTAGGGGCGGTGGTGGAGGCCTCAGCCCCTGTCCTCGAAAGTGCGTTGGTGGGGGTGGCCGCAGAAGTTGCAGCACACAAGTGTGGCATCCTGGGAGGGCAGCCCCTTTCTGCGGCTGGTCCTCGACCTGGTCGCAGTTGCCCTGGGAGGGACCGATCCCGATGCCTCCAGGGGGCACACGGACATCCCTGCCCTGTGCAGCTTTAGGCCACCATGGGAAAGAGGTGACAGTGTCTGGCTGAAGCCCAGAGCCCACCTTCCACAGGCGGGTCAGGCCAGGAAGGCACCCTTCAGCCACACCTGCAGCAAGGGGCTGTGACCCTGGCAGGGCCCCTGGGATTCGGCCCTGGGCTCCTCTGGGCAGCATCCGTCCCCACCCCACCCCTCAACAGGGAGGAGCAAGGGAGGGGGGAGGGAGGAGGGAAAGACAAAGCCGGGTGGGGCTACAGCCTGGCCTAGAAAGTGAAGAGCTGAAGAGCGGCAGCCAGGGGCAGTGGGAGCCGCAGTGGGAGCCTGAGCCTAGCAGCCCTAGGAGCCCATTCTCCCTCTGACCGGGCCAGCCAGGCTCTCCTCTCCCTGGACAGGAGCTGCAGGCTGTCACCAGCTGTCAACTGCTGCCTGGTGAGTGCTGTGAAAGCTGGGGCATGCAGGCTGCCTGGACAGACAGAGGTCCGGTGTGGGGCGGTATGGGGGTGGTGTGTGAGACGCGGTGAGCCCTATGCCTGCTGCCAAGCCTTCGGGGAGTCCTGGGACTTCTCAGGGACACTGGCGACCCAGCCCTGCCTGGCAGCCTGGTGTACTTTGCCTCCCTGGATGAGGCATCTGGGAAGCTCAGGGGAGAGTTTCAGGGAACAAGGGCATGAAGGCACCATGTGGGGCTCCGTGGACTCCCTGCGGGGTGTCTGGAAGTGACACCGCCCTCCCTCTGCAGCCATGTACAGCTGGGCCACCACTGCCCCGCGCGGGGCTGTCTGCATCCTTCTCCTGGCCTCCCTGGGCTGTGTCACCAGCCAGCCGCTGGGTGGGGAATCCATATGCACGGCACGGTCGCTGGCCAGGTACAGCCTCACCTTTGCCGGCAAGTGGAGCCAGACAGCCTTTCCCAAGCAGTACCCACTGTTCCGGCCACCTGCGCAGTGGTCTTCGTTGCTGGGTAAGGCTCCCTCTGCCCCTAGCTTCCTCTGCTGAGAGGGTGCAGCCCCAGACAGCTCCTCACAGCCACACAGCACAACACATCCAACACAGTTCAGCACGAGAAATATTTGTAGGCTGGCATGGTGGTGCACGCCTGCCATTCCAGCACTCTGGGAGGCTGAAGCAGGAGGATCACAAGTTCAAGCCCAGCCTGGGTGACTTAGTCACTTAGTGAGACTCTATCAAATACAAAATATCAAAGAGCTGAGGATGTAGCTTAGTGTGAAGGCCCTGGGTTTAATCCTCAGTTCAGAGAAAGAGAAAGGGTTGGGGGGAGGCCTGCTAAGCACCTACAGCATGCTAGCTAGTGCTGTCCTGGTTCTGGGGTGTGGGAGGGTCAGGATGGCCACCATCAGGGGAAGGCTGGCTGTTCACTGGTCACCAGCCAGGTGTCCAGCCGCGCGTGGACACAGGCGGTCACCACTGTCTGCCATGGCTGGGTGGACTGGGCTCCTTGCCTTTCGGCCATGGGAGCTGGCGCGCAGGAAGGTGGATGGGCGTCTCCTGGCGATAGCTCATGTGCCTGCGGCCCCACAGGGGCAACGCACAGCTCTGACTACAGCATGTGGGGGAAGGGTGAGTATGCCAGCAACGGGCTGCGGGACTTCGTGGAGCGGGGCGAGGCCTGGGCCCTGATGAAGGAGATCGAGGCCTCCGGGGAGAAGCTGCAGAGCGTGCGTGCCGTGTTCTCAGCCCCCGCCGTCCCCAGTGGCACTGGGCAGACGGCCTCAGAGCTGGAGGTGCACCCCAGGCACTCGCTGGTGAGCACTGCGGGCGTGCGTGTGAGTGCGTGTGATGGGGTGATGTCCCCACGGCTGTGAGGCTGAGCCGCCTCTCCACCCAGGTGTCCTTCGTGGTACGCATTGTCCCCAGCCCTGACTGGTTCGTGGGTGTGGACAGCCTGGACCTGTGCGAGGGGGGCCGCTGGAAGGAGCAGGTGGCCTTGGACCTCCACCCGCATGACGCTGGGACAGACAGTGGCTTCACGTTCTCCTCCCCTAACTTCGCGACCATCCCGCAGGACACCGTGACAGAGGTAGGGGGACTTGAGAAGCCATCTGGGGCCTGGCCAGCATCACAGGGAGAAAAGCCATGCAGGGTGCACGGAGCCCCCTCCTGGTCCAGCTCCACGGGCTGCTGCGAGCACCTACAGTGCCCGGCAGTCTCGTCATCCGTGTCCATGATGTGATAGAAAATACAGCAGATGTTCAAATTTAAAATATTTATTCCAGGGCTGGGGATTCAGCTCAGTGGTTCTGCCACTTGTCTCACAAGCACAAGGTCCCGAGTTCAATTCCCAGTACCAAAAAATAAAAAATAAATACAATATTTATTCTAGTAAAAGACACACTGCCCTAATTCCCCTCACTTCATACACACTGGCCCCATTGTCCCTGTCACTTTCTGTAGCAGCTCTGAAGTCTTCTTTCATGATGTCTTTGTAGTGCTGTTAAGTTGCTTCGGTGTGCTGAATTGATTCACGGCAGTGACCTTTCGTGGTCATTTTGACCTTGGGGAAGAGTCAGGCGTCACACGGTGCCAGATGTGGTGAATAAGCTGGATGAGAGCATACCGTAGGGTTTTCCAAGCCTCAGCTGGGCTCTGCTTTCTTGCATTGCCGGGCAGGACACTGGGACTAGACCATGGGGCCTTGCACGTGCATACAAGTGGGCTTCTTGGACTCTGAGCCGACGCTTTTTTCCTCTACCTCAGATCACATCTTCCTCCCCCAGTCACCCGGCAAACTCTTTCTACTACCCGCGGCTGAAGTCCCTGCCACCCATGGCCACAGTAACCCTGGTGCGGCTCCGGCAGAGCACTAGGGCCTTTGTCCTCCCTGCCCCAGACCTGGTCAGCAGGGGCAATGAGATCATTGACAACCTCTCAGGTAACCTGGGCCACGTTTGCTATTCCTGTGTGCTGCAGGCGGGTGGTAGGCAGAGCAACAGGGCTTGGAGAGGGTGGAGAAGCCCTCCAGCTCGTACCAAGGCCTTCAGGGTCAATGGGAGAACAACTCGGCTTCCACCGTCAGACCATCACCGATGTGACAACTACCTGGATGGACAGACACAAGTCACACGTTCGTGGCACCAGCCACATCCACTCACGCCACGCCACCTGTCAGGCAGACCTCCCGAGAGGGGCCACCTACCCACCCACGGGCATCCCAGCGACATGGCCTGGGAGTGACAGGGAGAGCAGAGGGTGGGCACAGGTGAAGCTGGCTGACCTGGCCTGGGGACCCCATCGTGGAGCCAATGGGAGAGAATTCTGAAGAATTCCACCCAGACAGCTCCCCTGGACAGGGCGGGACCACGCTGTGCCCTTCTCTACCTAGCACCCAGGACGTCTGAAGGGTACCACAGAAACACAGGAATTACCAGGCACTTTAACTATAACCACAAGTGACGGTTTTAAATAGGTGAATATAATGGAAAAGGAACAGTGACACTGAAGTGACAGGGCACAAGCCTCACACCTGAAGGGCCACTATCACAGGTCTTCAGCAACAAGCTGACTATGAAGGTCAGGGAAGCAGCAGGGCTGGTGCTGTCACAGACTGCCCCTCCCAGGGCCCCTACTGGGCACTCTCTCCTCACCGGCCCAATGCAAGGCACTTCAGACTCAGCCTGGAGAGGCACAGGTTGGCCTGAGCTCGGTGACCCTGTTGTGCACAGGGGGTCCCTCTGTCCCTGTGCCCTTAACAGTCCCTGTGTTTGGTTCAGTTCCAGAAACGCCACTGGACTGTGAAGTATCCCTGTGGTCGTCCTGGGGCCTGTGCAGAGGACCCTGCGGGAAGCTGGGAGTCAAGAGCAGAACTCGCTACGTTCTTGTGCAGCCTGCCAACAACGGCACACCCTGCCCTATGCTTGAGGAGGAGACTGAGTGTGTCCCTGATAACTGTGTCTGATCAAGGCCTGGGTCACCAAGGACTCCCAGGTGGACAGGCTGAGGGCTGACAGGGTGCCCTGCACAGACCTCCCTTGGTGGCAGCCAGGGGATGGCCATGACAGGTCCCTTCGGCAGGCATAGGAATCCAGAGACCATGAGTCTCTGCTCCACATTATGTCCCTGTAATTTATTACCATTCCCAAGGCTGCCTGTGATGCTGGCAAGAGGATGCCCCAAGGAGCCCTGCACCCACAAGACTGTTAAATACCTCAGACCTGGCGCCCAGGCCACCACAGTTCCCACCACGCAGGCAAGGTGGCCCCCACGCTGCTCCTGTCATCGAAGCTGGGTGACACCCAGGAAACACACAGACAGGGATGGTCTTGGAAATGTGGCGCTTTCATTTATTGATCTCTGCATCTGAATAAAGGCCATCTGTTCCTGACAAACGCTGGCAGATGTTCTCCCACCTTTCCTGGACAGCACATAGCAGAGGGTGCTGGGTGCATCAACAGGAAACACTGCAAGGCACCCAGAATACTTCCTGACAGGCACCTGGCCGGAAAGGCAGAGCAGGCTTGTGGGGAACCCTGCTGAGGCCTTGGAAGCTGGCAGTCAGCAGTAGCACCACCTGCTCACCCTTGAGCCCAAGCACACACCACAGGCAGGGAGTGACTGCAGATCTGGAGAGCACTGGGTCACCATGGCCACAGCCCTCACTCTGTTCCCTCCTGCAGGGGGCAGCTAATGGGGCCACAAACAGTTGTCTCTCAGGGGCTCACCTGCAGGTGCCCTGGTGTTGGTCAACATCATTTGCTGTGACAAAATACATGAGATAAGCAACTTGGAAAGAGGACAGGTTGTTTGCCACGTATTTTGAAAGTTTCGGGGCACATCCAGAGACTGAGTGCTTCCAGGCCTATGATGAGAGCACATCAAGCTGAAGGGAGATGCAGCTCATGGATAGGGTGAGAGAGAGGAAAGGCCTTGGGTCTCATTATCATCTTCAGATCACGTACCCTGTGGCAAAGACGTCCCGAGGTCCCATCCCCAGTCACCAGGACCTCCTGTTAGGCCTCATAGCATAAAGTTTCCATGGGCTCCCAGTAGTGCCACTCCAGGGACCTCAATTTCAACACATGTGACCTTCCAGATCCAAATTCCATGCTCTGGGGATCTCTCTGATCTTCCCGGGGCACTCCCTGGGTAAAGGGTGCTGCCTGTCCTTCACCAGCTTTGCTCTTTCCAGCAATGCAGAGTCCAACTGCACTGAGCTAGTACTGGGCAGTGTGGGGGAGACTCTCTGAGGGTGGTCTTGCCCCTCAGTCCTTGCCACAGCCCAGAATTGCAGTGTGTCCTCCTTACTCCTAGGAACCTATGATACACTACACTACTCTTCCAACTAGCTGGGAGCCTCCACCTCTGATGCTTCCAGATCACTCCCAGGGGGGCCAAGATTTAGCTCAGTGGTTCCACTGCCTGCTTCACAAGCACAAGGACCCAAGTTCGTTCAATCCCTGGTACAAAAAAAAAAGAAAAAAATCAGGCCCCAGGCCCACCTCCCACCACCCTGTGTCCTTTCATTCTTGAAAATTTCAGGCTCTAGGATATGAGTTTATGCAGTGTTATGGTCATGTTTAGATGTCCTCCAACGCTTGATGAAATCATAGGTGAGGCTTTTTCAGAGGTGGATGATGTAGAGTGTGTGATTAAAATTCAACATCCCTTCATGATAAAAATTTAAATATGGGTGTAGAAGGGCTGTATATGATAAATGCATAGCTTATGTCATACTGAAAAGGAATAAAACAAGTATTTCTCCTTTTACCACCATTATTCAACATAAGTTTGGAACTCTTTGCCAGAGCAATAAGAAAAAAAATGGATGACATCCAAATAGGAAGGCAGAGTCAGATTATCCTTGTTTACAGATGACCTGGCTGTGTACACAGAAAAACTTGGACTCTACCAAAAAACTGTGAGAACTGATAAATGAAATCAAGAGGTTATAGTATACAAAAGTCAGTACCTCTTTTATACACTAATAATGATATTTCTGAAAAAAAGATCAACAAAACAATCCCACTCTCAATAGTTACCAAAAAAAAAAAATCACTTGGAAATGAATTTAACCAGTGAATGTTTTCTACAATGAAAATTACAAAACACTGATAAAATAAATTGAAGAGAAAACTTACAAGAAAATGGAAAGACATCCTATGTTCATGGATTGGAAGAAAACTGTCACAATATCTACATTACCCAGAGCAATGTGTAGATTCAATGCAATTTATTAAAATCCCAGTAATATTCTTGACAGAAGTAGTAAAGCATCTCTAAAATAATTTGTATGGGGAAAAAAATCCTGAATAGCCAGTGTAATCCTGGGGTCGGGGGAAGCTGGAGGCATTACACTACTTGACTTCCAAATACTCTACAAAGTAACAGTAGAGTCAGGCATGGTGGCACACCCCTGTAACCCTAGCACTTAGGAGGCCGAGGCAAGAGGACCATCACATGTTCAAGGCCAGCATGAGCTATATAGTGAGATCAAGGCCAGCCTGAATTACAGAGTGAGACCCTGTCTCAAAACAAAACAAAATAAAAACAAACCAGTTGACAACATAGCATGACTACCGGCATGAAAACAAACATACAGGCCAATAGAACAGACTATATAACCCAGAAATAAATATACCTGTTTATAGCCAACTGATTTTCAATAAAGACAAGAACCTACATTAGAGAATGTTTCTTAAATAAGTAATGCTGCAAAAACTGGATAGCCACATGCAGAGGAATATATATATATATATATATATGGATATATATATATG